GAATGAAACAAAACACAACTCCAGGTCTGTTTGTGATGAGGAAACAACATTATAACACAGATCAGAAAATAGCGTAACTGTTTTTCACGTTTTTGAAGACAATAAAAAGCAGATGCAGCACTTTTTAGACTTTTTAACAGTGGTAGATGGTATGTCCCAGGTCTCCTTTTGCTTTCTTTGTCTTTAACCAGATTGTTTGTCTAACCGAGCCGCAGATAGAAGAGTTGTTGTTGGGACAAAATGAGGCGCTCCATCATGTCCACACACAGCCGATGGTTCTGTGCAAACTTCGGCTCCACATTGAACAAGTGAATCGATTCCTCCCTCTTTCTTTTCCTCTCCTATGGCTCAACACGAGGAATAATGACCGCCCAGGCCCACCGAAGATCCATACTTATGTCTGAATCATACAAAGGAGAGTAGTTTTCCTTTTTTTGGCATTTTGTGTTTTGTTTTGTTTCTGCTTGCTTTCACGGTTTGGCCCACTTCGGCTGACTGAGTCTACACTGAGAGAAAAAGAAGGGTAGAGTAAGAAGGCGAGACTTAAAGCACTATATCACTTTTTGTTTCTATGGATATGTCATTTCACTACCTGGAATATTCCATGGTAGGACCTTAAACAGCTCTACTTTACATTTATTCAATTACAAATAGTTTTATAGCTCAAAAATACAAAAAAACAAAACAAAACAGGCATTCTGGCAGAGTGAGGTCGCCTCTCCACTGATCTGACCTGTAACTTGATCTGGTTTGGTCTCCATGGTTTAAGGTTTAATACCATGCTATGAAACACTCCAGACAAAGCAATAACATGTCAATTTTTAACATTAAAATCATAAATAAATGAATAAATGACAGAATTTTTCATGAATTTGAATTGTGAATTTCCTTTATGCTTGTGAAAACGCTCATTCTATCACTTGTATTCACACTTACTTTGTCCTAAATTTTAGATTTTAGCCCTGATGTAGACTTGGTTTGGTCTTGTACTAGTCCTCTTTTAGTCCTGATCTAGTCCAGGTTAAGTTTTGGGTTTATTCTTAATTGTAAAAACAAAAGACATGGCCAAGTTGTGCAGTCATGTCCTTCATGACAAAAACAGCCAGTAATCTGATTTGGGTTGCTGAAATCCAGTTGGTTTAAACCTAAAAAGACCTAAAACTTGTAAGTGTCCTCTATCTACAGGTTTAGGCACTGGCAACACAGGTTCAGCTGCGATTATGAATTCCAGTGGCAAAATGGGGAATAAATAACACGAGAAATTGTACATCAGATCTTCAGTGTGTAATGCAAACCACAATATTGGCTTTTTGTCCTTAACTGTTCTATATAAAATACGAAATATACAAACTGAAACCGCTGGCTGCTTCTCTCAAACTCCTCCCCTCCCCCCACTCAGTTGACCCCCATCTCGACTCCCCCTGGTGGTGGTGGAGTCGTGCTGAGCGGGCTGGCAGGAGAGCAGAGGGGGAGCAGCGGGAGGGGGGCGGAGCTTGCCAACACCCCCCGCTGTGACCCTGGCCCTGGCTCCGGTGATGGGGCCCCCTGGTACCATCCACACAGGAACACAAATATGAGCATGGTAAATGTGGAGCTGTCTATAAAGAGGACAAAGGGTCATGGGACATATGGGCGATTCTTTTACTGTGAAACCCCAGTGTTGCCATGGTATTTAAAGGCTCGACATTACACAGAACTGACTCGTGTGAGCTTTTAGGCTACGTCCACATGACTACGCTACTGGATTTTTTCTTTTATGGGCTGAAAAAAAATTTGTGTCCACACATGTGTCAGATCAATAAATATTCATGTCCAGATGACAACAGAGTTAAAATGATGTAATACATATGACACACCTGTATGTGGCGCTGTAAACAATGATAATAATACTTAATAATGCAGATCCCATCACAGTTTTTTTAAGATTTAAGGTAATTTAGCCAATTTCAAAAGTATCCCAAAATTATAGCTGTTTTGTTTTGTAAAAGTTAAACATAAGTTTTCATTTTTAGCCATAAGATTTGGATGAGAATTATTAGAATAACATAGAATAACAAAATCCAACAGTTTAATTACTTGTGGGTAATCTTGTTATTGATCCCTGTGCTTATTTTGCGGCGCGTGTTGTTAGCGTTAGTGTTAACAGCGTGTCTTGGTTGCTGGGCAACAGGAGTGGCTCCGTAGGCTACACCTGTCCCATTTCGGCAACGCTCTTGCGGTCCATGGAGGCTAGTTCGAGGGCTGCAGGATCCGCTGCATCGAAGGACCCTGGTGATGACGGGGTCACAACGTCATCGTTTCCCCAAAGCTGCGGTTTGCTTGTCCACATGACAACGTAACGTTGGCGTTGTCAGATTTCTCCACTCTGGAACCTGTTCTCAAAAAACACAGTTTTCGCCCACCCAAAACCCCGGCTCCGTGTGAACGAAAGACCAAAACGAATACAAACTTCACTGTTTTGACCAAAAAACTTTGTCATGTGGACAGACCCTTAGTCATGTTATACCTCCTCAAAAACAAACCTGGAGTTGTGTTTTATTTTATTCACAAATGTTTCAGTAACCATTTATTATCATGCTTCTCTCCATGGAGATCTTATTGCTTTGTCTGGAATGTTTCACAGTATGGCATTAAACCTTTCTATGTTCATGGAGACCAAACCAGACGAAGATACAGGTCAGATCTATGGAGAGACAAACCCACTCAGAGTCAGAATGCCTGTTTTTTTGAGCAGTAAAATCACTTGTAATTCAATAAACATAAGGTAGAGCTGTTTAATGTCATACTGTGAAACATTCCAGAAAAAGCATTGGCATATCCATGGAAACAAGCAGGTGATGAGCCCACCTCCACCAGAAAAGTCACAATGCACCTTTAACTTCAGTAAAGATTGGCAATTTTAGGGCTGAAATGATCCAAATGATTCTTGTGATGGTGTGTGGAGTTTAAAAACACAGTATGGCACTTCCTGTATTACTATGGGCCCTTTAAAATTCGTTGTTTTGAGGACCTAGTTGATGTGAAAAAGCTCTAAAGTTGTATATTCTTTATGCATAATTATATATATTGTTATTCTACACTGCTCAAAGTGGCATTACAATTAAAAGAACACCATTTCGAGGTAGAAACTAGCAAGCGATGGAAAACAACTACCGAATTCAAAGTGAGTTTATAATTGAGTTGTGCTTATATTGTGTGATGAAATTATTATTTACTTTCTCCTTTATGATTCAATTAATTATACATTACCTTTTCGCAGATTTAAAATCACATTATACTTTATTGTTTTATGAGCAATTTAGACTTCAAGTGGACCTATTACGCAAAATTGACTTTTCAGAGTTTTAAACCATGTTATAGTTGTTTCCCTTTCTCATTTACTCTCTCGAAGTTATATTCAGAGCGATTTGTGCAAGTTCAAACGTCTTGAAGCGCTTATTTTCAAGACGCCATATTGCAGATTAACCCCTTTTTTCACTGCCATCAGCGTGCACCTTCTGTTCTTTACTTACTTCATTCTCAAGTGTTATTTTCTTAATTGGTTATAGTGGTATAAGTAGTTTTTTTATAGAAATGTTTTTTGACGCAGTAGTTAGTGGATTTGTTTCATTTATTCAGTCATTTTAGATGCTGAATATTACGTACTGATCCATGGATGTTGTAGATGATAACTATGTAGCAAAATATAAAACCAAAATGTAGTATACGCTATATGATTGTATTTTTTCATTATCTGTTACCTCATATATTACGTAAAATGTTCAAATATTGATTTTATAATTGTACTGAACAATGTTAATTCACAAAAAACATGTTATATGATTATTAAGTTGGAAAGCAGAAGAAGCTCCTCACATTGGGTTGCCAGATCCTAAAACTAAAAAAAAAAAAAAAAAATAGGGACTAGAAGCGTTTTGCAGGCAAGTCAAGACGGCGGTGAATTTTTTGATCCAATATGGTCGACTTCCTGTTTGTCATAGGGCACCACAATGATTGGCTTTTTTGCTTGTCTCCTTGAGTTCTATCACTGTTCCAAATTTCGTGAACCTAAGCCAAAATATGTGTCTCAGCCTCCAATTCATTTCAAAATTTTGAGAATTTCAAGGGGGTGCTATTGAGTGGGGGTGCTGTGGGCATTGTCGCGATGCCCATTTTATCACATTTTTTGCCGGACTGGTTGATCTGATACCCAGTTTGGGGACTTTTGAGGCGGCCAAAATCACAATTGTTTGCAAGAAAAAATAATAAAAGAGTGGAAGAAACTGAGCAAGAATAATAGCCCTCGCCAGTTACTGTGTTAGTGCCTCGGGCCCACCAGTAATAAACCCTAAAGTGTTGTCTATGATGATCTCTATATGACGTTCCCCCAGTATATGGCTGATAAAAATGTCAGCTATGACTGCAGTACCACCTTTAAACCAGCAGGAGCACTTCACTATATGTTCACTATTCATTAGGGGTGTAACGATATCCAAATTTCACAATATGATATCGTCACGGTATGAACCTCACAGTATGATATTTATCGCAATATCATGGGAAAGCTCAAAATTAGGGATGTAACAATATCTAAGCAAAATCTCTGTGCAATATACATGTCATGGTGTGATATTTTGTGGAGGCTAATATGCTCCTTTTTCCTCTTAAAATCCAAAGAACTAAGACTTAAAAGTGTTTAGAACTGTTATTTCTTCTTGTAGTCTGCACTGAAATGGAGCAAAGGATCATGGTCTATGTAGTTCTCTGTCTTTTTTACCTATTGCTGCACCACAACTCTTATTTTAAGCAAAGAGACTTGTAATTCGATAAATTGTGATGGTGTTATCATTTCGTCAAAGTTCTCACAATAATATCGATAAGATATCACGATATTTCGGTTATTGTTACATCCCTACTATTCATAGAACTGTACTTTAATCTAGTATTTTTAGTTTTAAGGCTTCTACAAAACATTTGAATTGGGCCTAAATGTCAAAAACATTGTAAGAAAAGACTCATACCTGTGCAGATGAAGAACTTGGACTCTCCCACACTCAGCTCCACTTTGTTTAAGGATATGGACACCTGCAGGGCCGCTGTAGACAGAAAGAGAAAAGAGAACAGTTAACTTAAGAGTTCCCAGTATTAGCCCAGTGGTAATCTCACATCTCGACACCCAAAATGCACTTGTAAGCTTCTTCGGCGACAGGACTCACTTCTGCCTACATAATAATGCCATTTCTATTGTGTTTTAAAACCATTTTCCAACCCTGTCTGAAGCGATGCTAGCATGTTAATATTATTCTACACAAAAGACGATTGTGGAGCTTGAAAGAACAATTTATGCTGTTTTTTTTTCCTTCAAACTACTGAGAAGCGGGGAAGATTGTGTTGATAGCTTTTCCCCATTAGCGGCGCGGCGTGTTTGCGACTAACCTGTCAGTCACTTTTCACAATGCCTGGGCTTTGCTTCCGCCTATAGAAGTGTTAGAAAATGATTGGCGACAGTACATACAAACAACTACAGCAATTTCATAGGCTCATAGGCTGATTCACTCTGCTTTCCCACGTACCAAAGTGTAAACAGCTATTTCCGAGCTAGTTTGCAAGTACTATGAAATCCTGCATCTACACCGCATGTAAATACAGAGAAGTGTAGGCTATTCAAAAAAATGCACCAAAACTAAACAGTTTACCAAACAAAACAAATGTATTTCTTAAATCCATGTTCTGAATACTAATACTTAAGAAGTGGGAGTAGTATTGCTTTAAAGCTATTTGAGAAACTTTCTGAATATGTTACGCTTTTTACACCACGTATTCTTACAACTACAATTCTTAGTACTAAAATAACTATTAAGTGACAAAAAAGCGACATTTCTAGTTTTTTGTGACTTTAAAATAGATTACAAATAACATATTTTTATTTGTTTATTTATGTACATACTTTCTTACTTTTAGGTGGGTTTAGACCAGTACTAGAATAAAGTGTAATTGCACATCCACTACAGTAGTTGGCAGTGGCGGTCTCATTGTCAGAGTGTGCACAGGGAGTATTAGCGCTATAGTTTCGGGTTTTGGTGCACAGATTAAACGCACACACGGCACAGAGCAGGAGATATGAAGTGCAGCGAACAAACTATGTAAAGCGTAAGTAGCGCTCGGCTTCACTGTGACTACATCGGGAAACGGGGAAAGACTGCTGTGTTTACTGTGTTGAAAAATGTTGGCAGCGAAGAGTATGAAGCTGAATAAATTATGGCGTCGCTTAAAGACATACCCCAATCACGCTGATAAGTAGCTCGAGTTTTTTCAGCGAAAACGTGCCGAATATTGCCAACAATCATCCTGCTTTGTGAATGCTGCTTCAGTAAACCAATGAAACTGCTGCAGCATTACACGTGGTTTCTGTCACGCTGGATGACGCAAGTGCCCCAAACTATAACATGGACATGATCATTAAAGACAAGGAGGACACAGGAGCAGACCGCCTCATGACGCAGGTGAGCACAGCACGGAATCCGGACGGAAACATGCTGCGTGTGTCGCCGAGAGTCGCTTTGGAGACGCGACTAAAACGTTTGCTCTCGTATGTAGGCGACTGAAGGCGAGGGTGCGATTTGTTCACGTTTGGTAGTGGTTCTGTTGCGAAATGTTTTCTTCCTAGGCGGGGCATGGCAGAAAATAATTGAGAAGCGCTGTTTTAGAACTACTGTAGCCGTCACAAAGTTAACAATCACAAGCATGTAAGAGAATTGAAATAATTTATTTTTCATGTACATCTAAGTTTCACATTGACTCACAAAAGCTATCTTTACACCATGATCTTCCCTTGGCATACCATTGGCATACTATCATCTAAATTATGGCATATTGCTGACTAACTGGTGTCTACTGGCCTTCATAGTCTCACCACATTTGCTTCATAAACCGCCTCCATTTGAAGCATAGTAAAGGGGCTTGAACTCTCAAAGATCACACTATGTTGACTTTTCAAATCACCCTGGGCTCGTATTATGGATGGTAAATAAACTTCTCCTGCTTAAGATATCTAGTTAGTCTCTAGACTTTAACTTCCACCCTTTCTTGGACAAAGTATCCCAATTTTGCAGTTCATTTCTATGGGACAAAGGCATTCTTTACTTCATTCACAATTTGTCATTATTACATTTTTTCAAGATAAAAACTGCCTGTCTGTCATTACTGATATGTTCTCTTAAAAGTGCACTGTGTAACTTTTTGATTCGGGGTCCATCACCTGTTGTTTCTATGGATGTGCTCTGCCTGGAATGTTCCATAGTATGACATTAAACCACTCTACTTTACATTTATTCAATTACAATTTGTTTTATAGCCCAAAAATACGAAGAAAAACAGGTGTTCTGGTCGCCTCTCCACAGATCTGACCTGTAACTTGGTCTGGTTTAGTTTCCATGAAGATAGAAAGGTCAAATACCATACTGGGAAACATTTAAAGTTACACAATGCAGCTTTAAATATCACAATAGCGCCCCATGTCTATATTCACATGAGAGTAAAAGCCTGTGTAAATCCAGTTAGTCTACCATTCTAATCACTGCCCACTCAGAATCACAATTGAGGGCCACATTTAGTCCCGCCCCCTGGATACTAGCTCATATCTGATTAGCCCGTCGCGCGCACAAGCTAACGACAACGCTAATGAACGCTAATTTACTCAACAACGTTCTAAAGCAGCTCTGCGCCGGTCAATAACGTCGGAAAAGATTGAGTTATTATGTGACAATTCTCCGAAGACAAACGCAATACCCGGCGTGCACTAAAGGTGGCGGTAGAAAGGAGGTCACGCATGCACGGCAGTATCAGCACTATATTTCTTTCTATCAAGAGTTCTATTGAAAGCCGTGATAAATGCATTGGAAATCTGATTGAAAATTTGTCCATATCAGCTTCCGTAGAACGGTAACGGCACAATGAGCGAGGTGTGGGAGAAATAATATTAAGTGGAAATGGCCTATGCGAATTCTTATCTCTACGGTAGCTCTTTTTTATTAAAGCTAAACAGATAGACTGATAAAAATGCATTGTGAAAAAGAATGGAGGATACAGCGACCTGCCGAATGATCCAATGGAAGTGGATTTGAATGAATAGCATAATAGTAAAAACGGTATTAAACATTTTTATCCTTGAAATGTACTGAGAGTTTAAGATAATACGGAAAGAAACCTACAATATATGTCAAGTACGGTTGTCAATGACAGGCATTAGAACGAAAAAAAAAAAAAAAACGTCTGGCAGGTATAGAATAGATGTTATATAGAACAAGCTCATTCAATGCCAAGTAAGAGTAAAAGCATTGGCTACTCTGCTATTAGTGCTACTGCCAAGAACAAGTGGCCAAGAAATACTGTAAGATTATTGCAAAGATCTGAGAATTCATCATATGGAATTGTACAAAATGCCAAGCACAAATGCGAAATAGAGCCAAAGATATAATTTAAATGTCCTATATTACGCAAAATTGACTCTTGCGAGCTTTAAGTGGTGTTATAATGCATCAAAAATATACTTGAAGTTGTGTTTGTGTTTTGTTTCATTTATACGTTTGAGTAATCATTTTTATTATTACTTTGTCTGCATCTCCAGAGCTCAAAATGCTCAGTTCCACCTTCTGATGTCATGTTTTCAAGTTAACAATCAAAAAAACTACAGGTGTGTTTTTAGTGAGGAAACAGCTTTATAACATAGATCAGAAAATAGCGTAACATAGGCCCATAAAAAGCAAAGAGATTATGCATTATGCAATGGTCGGAACAACATCACGGCCCACTGCCAGATAAGATATTCAGTCCCTAGAGTTTACAGTTTTGGAGGATTATGTCTAGGATGATTCAACAGCTGATTTCACTTCGTGGAAATGGTCTGACCTCGCAGCATTAGGATTTGTTCGCTCGATGGTAGGTGAGCACTTTTTTTATTTAACCAATCGCTGCTTTTTGGTCGTGATGCATGTAATTCGCTGCTAATGGGAACTGGTATATTAAGCTTTTCCCAAATCCCGTAGGAAGAAGGTCAATAACGCCTTTCCCCTTGATAAAATTCATCAAACATTCCCTTTTGTTCCGGCTTTAAATCCTCGATCTCGGGAATCGTTGCCAACACAGAATGTCTGTCTTCGTCTACATCCATCTCGACCATTTTGTTTACTGTTGTGCTGTACAAAAGGGACCCAGACAGACGCTTGAGTTTGACGTCATGACTTCACAGCTCTTCTCTGATTGGCCAGTGTGCGGTCTACAACTTCTTGCAAACCGACTAGTGTATTCCGATTCCTGACCCAGTCGCTGGAGAAAAATGAAACTGAGCACACATACTAGGTATTGCCAGCCTGGCTAGATTATGTCATGACTGTATTAACATTGATCAGTTACGGTTTTGAAAAAGTTACAAGAACGTCAATGAGAAAAAACATGTCTGAAGTATAACGACCATTCAAAAGTTTGAATTATTTGCATTGTAGATTCTCGTAGAAGGCATCAAAATTATGAATGAACACAAACGTAAAAAAACAACTCAAAATAACTCAAAACCAACTAACTAACTATAAATAGCCACCCTTGTTTTGAACCCTGGTTTGCACACAAGACACACTTGAACATTAACTTGAAGTGAAGACCATTTCAGGAGACTTCATTAAGAAACTCAACAAGGATTAGAAGCGCTGCTGACAAAGCAAAGGGTGGCTACTTTGAAGATTTGAATGAATTATTTAAAGTTAGGTTTTTTACTTTTCTTTTCTTTACGTAATTCAATATATCTTGCATCATATATTTGATATCTTCATGTATACAAAATATAGAAAGTAGTAAAAAGCAGTGAATGAGAGGGTGGGTGCAAACTTTTGACTGGTCGTGTATAGAGGCTAAGAATATAAATAATAAAACTAATTCCCTTATATTTTGATCCAGCTTGCACTAGTATTGATTGTAGTTTTTATGACTGTTTTGGACTGTGAAGCTGTGATGTAAATGTGCTGTATAAATAAAACTGACCTTGACCTTGACCAGTGCCTTGGCGGAGGTCTGCACTCTCTCCCACACAATGTGATCATACCAA